ATTCCTGCTCATATATTGAATTTCAGTAGTTGGTTGCATAAAGAAGTAAAGTGTAATGAAACTGGCAAGCAAAGTATTCCCCAGTCAGCCTTATCTTTGTTCCATTTGTCCTTCAGATGGAGCTTTTCTAGGCTTTTTTCAATAAAATCCATCCAGTTTTTTTTTTTTTTTTTTTTTTTTTTTTTTAACTGCAGATCTTGGTGACTTGTTCTTATTAATTAATTAATTAATTATTGCTGTGTTGGGTCTTCGTTTCTGTGCGAGGGCTTTCTCTATTTGTGGCAAATGGGGACCACTCTTCATTGCAGTGCGTGGGCCTCTCACTATCGCGGCCTCTCTTGTTGCGGCTTTTTTTTTTTTTTTTTTTTTTTTTTTTTTTTTGCATCTCTTAGTAACTGAGCTGAGAAGACCAATGAGATTCAGGGCTTTTATAGTTCTTAGCAGCTGCTTTTTAAGAGATCAAAACTTAGAATGCTGCTACATGGTATTAAGGCTTAACTCTTGATGTGTCCCTATGGGGGATATGTTTTCCTTGGGGTAGGATGAGGAGAGAGGAGAGAAGGCACAGGATGCCCACTTCAAGTATGCTCGGGGTGGTAACCCTAATTTCCTTGTTTCCTAGGATTCTCTTCGCAAGCTCAGTGCTTAACCTGACTGAACTGGCTGCCCTTCGGCCTGACCTTGGGAAATTGAAAAAGATTCTGTACTTCCATGAGAACCAATTGGTATATCCTGTCAAGAAATGTCAGGAGAGGGATTTCCAATATGGATACAACCAAATTCTCTCATGGTAGGTATAGATTGTATCATTATATTTAGTCGTTTGCCATCTTTTTCCTTATAGTTAGCTTTTAAATCTGGAGACCTCCTGTACACTTATTTTAAAAATACCTTAAATTAGGAGCAAATGTTTAAACATACCTTCCATGGTAGGAATTACTTGTGCCTCTGCAATATGTACATATAAGAGAACAGCTAATCCTTTTATAAAATACATATGTGTAACAATCTAAATGTTGAACTAATTATCTAACTGTATTTTCTACAGCATTCAAAATAGAATCAAAGGGGTGACAGGGACCTTCTTCATCCCCTGATTCCATCATCTACTGTGTGAGACATACTTTTAGAAAAAGACAGTTAGTCAACTTTTATTTACCAGCTACTTTCCATGTATCCAGCTGAAATCAAAATAGAAATTTACAGAGGAATAAACAAAAATTAAAGCATAATGGAGCAAGGGGTTTTTGTCCTTTTTTTTCTTATTGTTTGTAAGAGAAAACTATGAAAAATGAATCTTTAGGAGGTTTTTTTTTCCCCCTCTTGAGTCTTCTGAAACTGCATAGCCTTAAAATACCATGACATTTCAAAGGTGATGGTCCTTCTCTACTGTTACTTCAACAAAGTGTATCTCCTGAAGCTTAGTTAATGAAAGAAGTTGATAACAACTCGGAAACAGCTTTGCTATTGGATCCCATCCACATAACTGTAACACTCAAAGGGAGTCAGTTTGGCAGTGATTGGGTTCAGTTTACTCACCTTTTTTAATAGTTATTAGCAACTGGGATTGATGATGTGTTTAAACAGACTCCCAGCTCTTTTGCAAGTATATTCCATAGTTTCACTGACATAGAAAAACAGCTAGATGGTAATACTTCTGTGTTTTGAGCATTTTGTAAATGTTTTCCTGCAATCATTTTTACAAGCTGCTTCAAATGAGGTAGGAGCGCTATCAAAATAGAGTGGAGCTGCTTCACATCAAATGTCTCATAAAAAAAGCAACCGTTTTAAAATTTCATAATAAAATTAAAATTCTTTATTTTATATTGAAACAGAGGGGAAAATATGTTTTAAAAACAAAAATAAAATCATTTTGTGCTTTATCAATATGGAAAACATTTGTAATATTCTTTTGGTTGCTTGAATTAGCATCATTCTTTTCCTCAGATAGTGTGTGTTTATTACCCGTGAGAAATAACTGGGGAAAAAAATTAAGTCTATTTTTCCCTTTATGGGTGGCTTTAAAGTTAATGGAAGTTACACCCACTCATATCAGAGAGGAAATGCATGAAAAAGAATATTTCTGTAAACTATCTTGGAACTTTAATTTGGCATAAACTGGGTTTTTAAGAATATAAGTAGTTGGGTTGAATGCCGTTTGAGGGCAGATAGCTAAAAAAATTTTTAGCTCACTACCCCTCATCTCTCTGTTTCAGAAAAGATTGTTTTGGTCAAAGCGAATGAGACTATAAAAGCTTATATATAATTTTTCAGCATTGCTCTTCTCAAGAGCGTAAACTGATAGACAAGCTTGGAGAGAAAGAAGTGGGCTTGATCATTGGTGGGACTCTTAATGAGAAAAAAACTGGCTTGTAGTCGTCCAGAGGAAAAATAAGAGTGTCAGAAAGCAGTCCTGTTCAGATTCAGTTTGAAAAGTATGACTCCAGCTTCTTAAAATGTTTCCTTAGTTTTCTTGCTGACTTCTGCTTTTGTTGGCACTGTCAGGTTTCTTTCTTGACTGTGTGACAGTTAAGGACTTCAGAGATGACTGACATAAGCACTCACCTTAAATAGAGGTTTCACTAACCCTCTGACTGATGAACACATGCCATAACTATGTATTATGACCTGTGGGTCACTATTACAATATGGTGAAAACAGACTAGCTGTAAAACATCCTTCAACTTTTGGTATATTATTATTATTGGCTTCCTTATTGCTTGGTATTGTGTCAGCACTTCTGTGACACTCTCTTGTATTATCCATGTTGTAATCACTGCTAATCTCAAGTTTGCACTAGGTTGCAACTAAAAAAAAAAAAAAAAAAAAAACTTGTATGGGAAAACAATTTTGCAGGAGTGTAGGGCAGATAGGGGTGGCAGGTCAACATTCCTTTTTTTAGTTTATCATTCCACTATGTATTGATAATAGAAACTTTGACTGTCTCAGTAAATGTGAATTAAACTAAACTGAGGACTTGCTGTGGTATTCCTGCTCTATAAGCTCTGTTTATTCATTTGTGTTTTACAGTCTTGTGGGCTTGCATGTCTTCTTTTCAGTTTCCTTGATGTCCTTTACAGGGTGAAATAAAACTAACTGCTTTTTCTATTTGATCTTGTATACCTTCTTATCAAAGCATTTGTATGCATTTTACTGAGACACTGAATCATGGCTTAAAGCAAAGAGGGTTATTTTAAAAAACAAAACAATGATTTATTAAAATGGTATTTTGATTCATAAAGGGAACATAGTACATATTCCTGTTTATCCAGCTCACCCATAGTTATCATTTGTGTTCATTGGTTTCCAAGAAGATGTTATAGGCAAATTTGGAAACGACTGACATATTAATGACACATAAACTTTGTTTTTACATTTCCTTCTAACTATGTATTTTAGATTATTTTTAATAAAAAAAATACTAAGGAGAGGATCACAGCCTTTGCATCAAAAGCAACAGCCAATATTATATTTCTTTCATTTAATTCTGAAGGTCCATGGTGTTGTGGTCCTTTATAATACATTATGTAATCAGTAGGACCTAGTGGTATGGATTTCTGGATCCATTTTCACCAACTTCTTCTATTTCTCTGATTACTCCAAATCTAATATAATAAAAAAAAAGTTATTTCTAGAGTTTCTATATAATCCTTCCTGTGTAGTCTCAGAACTTTAAAAAACCTAACAGTTTCTTGAAGCAGGGGTTAAAATGAGAAATAGACTTTAACCACATGTTATGAAGGTATGCTCTTAGTATGAAATAGCTTTATCTGGATTAATCTCCTTGAAGGCAGTGAAAAGTATGGCAAGTTCTGTTCTCAGTACTGTGGTGTAAAACGAAATACATCACTGACGTAGAAACCCAGCATGGGTAGTTGGGCCACAAAGAAAACGATCCTCCTGTACTTGGTGATAATATTGAAAATTCCTGGCGTTGCGGAAAAGTACATTGGGCTGGCCAAAAGGTTCCTTCGGTTTTTAAAGTAAAAATGGAAGACATAGTTTTCATTTTCACCAAGAACTTTATTGAACAACGTATTCACTGTTTTGTTCCACTACCTTCTGCCGTCTTTCAGGCAGCTTCATAATTCCATCTTCCCAAAGCTTTTTATCTTTTTGAGCATAGAACTGTTGCAGGTGCCTTTTACAGTCTTCCAGGGAATTGAAATTTTTTTCCATTAAGAGAATTTTGTAAAGACCGAAATAAATGGAAATCTGAAGGTGCAACGTCTGGTGAATTCGGCGATGAATCAGCTTGATCCCAGTCAAGCTGTAACAGTTTTTGCCTGGTCATCAAAGAAACCCGGTCTTGTGTTATCCTGATGGAAGATTATGCGTTTTCTGTTGACTAATTCTGGACGCTTTTCATCGAGTGCTGCTTTCAGTTGGTCTAATTGGGAGCAGTACTTGTTGTAATTAATCGTTTGGTTTTCCAGAAAAAGCTCACAATAGAGGACTGCCTTCCAATCCCACCAAATACACAACATCACCTTCTCTGGATGAAGACTGGCTTTTGGTGTGGTTGGTGGTGGTTCATTTCGCTTGCCCCACCATCTCTTCTGTTCCACATTATTGTACAGTATCTACTTTTCATTGCCCATCACAATTTGTTTTAAAAACGGAACGTTTTCATTACGTGTAAGTAGAGAATCGCACTCAGAAATACGGTCAAGAAGGTTTTTTTCCTCTTAACTTACGTGGAACCTAAACACCAAACCGATTCACGTAACCAAGCTGGTGCAAATGTTTTTCAACGCTTGATTTGGATATTTTGATTATGTCATCTATCTCCTGCATGGTGTAATATTGATTGTTCTTAATTAATGTCTCGATTTGATCACTGTCAACTTCAACTGGTCTATTGGACCATGGAGCATCGTCCAGCGAGAAATCTGCAGCACGAAATTTTGCAAACCACTTTTGACGTGTTCAATCAGTCACAGCACCTTCTCCATACACCACACAAACCTTTTTTTTTTTGAGTTTCAGTTGAGTGTTTACCTTTCTTGAAATAATAAAGCATAATATGCTGAAAATGTTGCTTTTTTCCTCCCATCTTCAGTATTAAAATGGCTACACAGAAATTCACCAATTTTGATTTTTTTTTTTTAAAGGCACGCTGATATGACAGCTGTCACAATGCAATCTAACAAAATTATTTCGAATGAAGTTGAAGACAACTAAAGTGCTACTGGAGCCATCTTACGGAAAACACCAAACGGACTTTTTTGGCCAACCCAATACTTTGGTTTGAAGTGTCATAGGATCCCATTAAATCACTTAATTCCTCTCCTGCCTTTCCTCTCTGATGCCAATAATCTACCTTCCCTTGATATAATGCTAATGAAACTAACTTATCTATTAGAGTCATTTTGATAAATACTGGTAGGAAGTGCAGAGTTCTTTGCAAACCCAAGGTGCAGTATAAACTCTGATTAATAAAGAAATCTTAGGCTTATAAAAATAACTGAACAAGTGTGGGCTCACCATATGCATTTATCCTTTCCCTTTGCAGCCTGGTGGCTGATGTGGTGGTATTCAACTCGGTTTTTAATATGGAGTCATTTCTTACTTCTATTGGAAAATTCATGAAGCTGATTCCTGATCACAGACCCAAAGATCTGGAAAGCATCATCAGACCCAAATGCCAAGTTATTTACTTTCCCATCAGGTTTCCTGATGTGAGCAGGTCAGTATGTTTAACTCCATTTTCAATATTGTGTCATAAATTATTCCCCAAATGTGTAAAAATCGGTGATGTTCTTGCCAATTTTGACTTTTCAGTGTAAGCATGATTAGTTAGAGAATCAAGTTCTATTTTGCCATGCCGTGATTTACAAAGATTTTAAATAATCACGTGTCCAACCTGTCACTGAATGGTTAATTCTGATACTGAATTTTTCCTTTCTTTTCTCTTATTTGTTTGTTTGCCAAAGCAAGGTGCTTTGGCTTTTAACACTTACTGTTTTGTTTATTTGTTGTTTTGCTACAGAAGTCATTGTCAAGCATAGGTCTCAACCTTTGTATTCAGCTTATGTCCATTGGTTTATATGTATAATAGTAACTTCTAAGTAAATCAGTGTTAAATTTTACTGCTTAGATTACTTTCATTTCCCATGCTGTTTTTTCTTTTTTTTTTCCCCTTCTCCCATTTTTTATTATTTATATTATCTTAGTAAAGAGTTAGGTCTTCTATATTGGGTTGCAAATGCACTTAATTGCCATTTCTTTTTCTCAGTCACTAAGGATATTTTTTATTACCCTTATTGCTGGGCCCACCCTGAATTAGCAATGGATGATGTGGCTCAAAGGGAACATTCTAGAATTCCTTTTCACTTTTGATTAAACCTAGCAAAATTGTTTTTACTACCACCAGGAATATTTTCCCCTTGTGAATAGAAAGTTTACTTCAGAGGGAATCATACTAGCTGGGGATGCTGCTGTTTTGTAACTGTGTCCTTAAAAAGAGTTCAGGGACAGCTGTTTCTTCCCCATCCTTGAAATGAAGGCAGGAGACAATTTAATATCCACATATGCTATGCAGGAGGTCAGCATTAATCTCTATGTTCTGGACTTACTGAGTTCACCCAGATTTTGCTGTGGGGACACCCACTCTTCCACACCCCTAATACTGATTTAAGTGTCTGACTAGTTAATATTGCATTGAAGAAAAATCTGCCTAATACCAAATCAAGCTAGTGAGTCATAAAATTTAAGTTAGAACAACTTGCCTGATCGTTACTTTATGGAGTTCAGAAAACAGAAGGCCAGAGAAGCAGACTGGCTTGTGCTCACACTGCTGATTACTGTCAGAGACTGTATTAAAATTTAGACTCTATGACTTTTTTTTTTTTGTTTGTTTGTTTGTTTGTTTGTTTGTTTGTTTTTGCAATATGTGGGCCTCTCACTGTCGTGGCCTTGCCCGTTGCCGGACGCGCAAGCTCAGCGGCCACGGCTCACGGGCCCAGCCGCTCCACGGCATGTGGGATCCTCCCGGACCGGGGCACGAACCCGTATCCCCTGCATCGGCAGGCAGACTCTCAACCACTGCGCCACCAGGGAGGCCCGACTCTATGACTTTTGATTAAATTTTCTGTTAACTATCTAATCTTCCTTTCAGTATAGGTCATTTGTCAAAAATATTTAATGATTTATTTACAGTTTTGAAAACTATAAAGTTAAGTGAAACTAAGATCACAATTGATTTTCATATATATGTAAATATGTATATAATATGTATTTGTAATATATAATTTTCATATGTGTGATGAGAGAATGTCAACTTCTGAAGAATATGATTGTTATACTTTAGATCTGTGATTAGCTAGAACACAGCTTATACTTTAGATCAGGGGTCCCCAACCCCCGGGCCTGTTAGGAACTGGGCCGCACAGCAGGAGGTGAGTGGCGGGCGAGCGGGAGAAGCTTCATGTGCTGCTCCCCATCGCTCCCCATTGCTCGTAGTACCGCCTGAACCATCCCCCGGTTCGTGGAAAAATTGTCTTCCATGAAACCGGTCCCTAGTGCCAAAAAAGGTGGGGACTGCTGCTTTAGATCATATTTTGGACCTTATTTTTTGACATGCTTTTAAGTTTTTCATATAATAATATATCGTCAAAATGCACATCTTTAAGTGAATAGGTAGTTATAGCACATCTTAATTATTACTGCTATAGAATTCCAAATAAATAGTATGTTTTAAAATGCAGTTGCATCTGATATACTTGCATCTACAACATCCTATGTTTAATACACCTGTGGCAATTGAATAGTTTATTAATTTGGACTGAATTACCATAAATAAATCTAGCTAAATGGAAGAAGGTTAAAAAATACTGTGGCCAAGATAACATTCATAAGCAAGGTCTTAGCCCAGAGTGTTATTTGAATTATTTTCAAATGGTAATTTGCTTTATCCAACCCAAACTCATATAGTTTGTAAGTGATTATTTGCATGAATGACAATCATTCTAATGCCTGCAGTCTTAAAAGAGTATTATTTTGTTGAGATGTTGAAAAATGTTTAGTAATTCCAAAGGCAAAATAACCAAGGTGATTAAAAATAAAAAAATTTTTGAACGGTTCTATCTTTCTCTCAAATTTAATTTAAAAACAAAGCAGAGGGGCTTCCCTGGTGGCGCAGTGGTTGAGAGTCCGCCTGCCGATGCAGGGGACACGGGTTCGTGCCCCGGTCCGGGAGGATCCCACGTGCCGCGGAGCGGCTGGGCCCGTGAGCCATGGCTGCTGAGCCTGCGCGTCCGGAGCCTGTGCGCCGCAGCGGGAGA